AGGTTTTTTTAAAGTCAAAGGGAGCCATATAGTAGAAACAGCAACAAAACCGATCAGCCTGAAGTGCTTCATCTTACCAAAAACACAGTGGTCCATTTAACCATTTTAAACAAACTGAAATAAATTTTAAAATGGAAATTACTATTCCAACTGAAAAGCCAAGAAGTTTAAGAATGCCAAAATGAAATGCTTTCAACTGCAGTCATCTTCAATGCCATAATATTATTAGCTGTATGATAAAGCTTGCATTTTAATTTTCTGTTGTTTGTCAGCATACGAGTAATAAAGCATTTCAGCACATGCTGTTCATTCTGGTGCTTCACAGGTTAGCCATCAACAACATGTGATTCATTGTTTCAGTCAGTAACACACCTGTAGAAAATATCTATTTTCTATCGAGTCCAGCTATGTCAGTGTAAAAGGGTACTCCACTCTCCTTCCCACCCTGTGTCCCCTGTGGCAGGTCCCCTCCCCACCTACCACCAGAGGAATGGCGTGCACCAGCGCTTCCCAGAGCCGGGATATCTTAAACACTGGTGTGAGCTTCGCCCCTGAATATGTGACATGAGCTTAACGCTATGGCTCTTCCTTGAAGTGAATTAGGAGCGCTCACATAAAGTCCTCTGCCAGCAGGAGAGTGGGAACAGTACTTTGGGGCAGAAGGGCAAAAACCATCAGCTGGAGAGATGGTCCTTCCCAACAACACAGCTGGATCTGGGAAAGAACAACCGTCAGCACAAATTTACCCCTGATACACAGTAATATTAAAGAAAGTAAAAAGATCTGACTTGACTTAGGTTAATCTTAAGTTAAACTCCGTAATGCATTGAAGTGGATGAGCAAAGACGACAAGAAGTTCAGATTTTGGGTTGCTGAACTACAACAGCTTTATTGGACTTATGCCAACTTTGCATAGGCAGCCTACCTGCCATGTGCTACGGCCTCACGTCAGCACTACATCGCTTCTGCACTAAGGAGATTCTCCCCCAAATACTCACCGGCCTTTTCAAATGTACTAGATTGAGGAAAGCAGATTATCAGATTACTAGGTCACAGAAAGTCCAGAAGTAAAAAAGAAAAATACACACATACTCTCACACCTCTAATATGCGTGTGGGTTTTAATTTTAGCTCACAGTAATTTAGATAATCTGATTTAATCAGGATTCCAAACATTAGAGTTTAAATTCCACCTTTTACAGTCACTCTCTACCACCACAGTGGAGTTGCTTAGGAGTGGACCATGACAGCTGCTTGCAATCAGAGACAGAGTACACCCTATTTTGTGGTTGTTTTGTTTTAAGAGTGGAAATGAAAACCAATTTCTCAGCAGAAAACACCAATAAAATTTAAGTAGATAGAATGTAAATACCAGAGTTGGAGCTTGGAGACAAGTGGAGAGATAATAAACACACTCCTGTTGGAACAGCTATACTTGGAGCTCAGCGATGACTTGGCCAGACCTGCTGAGTATGTCGCTACGCAAGGCAGAGGAACACGGGGCTGCCCTGGAGCAGAGACGATGACAGATCACAAGGGACAGCCTGTGATGAGCCCTGCCTGGAGGGGAGGGTTCACCACTGCCCACAGCAGGCAGCAGCTTGGCACGTGCCCATCTGCCACAGCTGGGGCACTCCTAAGGGACTGCCCCCACACTCTGCCACCCTGTCCTACGGGACCTGGCAGAATCTGCTTCCCAGCTAATTCCACCTCAAGCCAGGAACTTGCATTCATTTTCTTTGTCATGGTTACGCAGTTCCGTTACAACCCAGCTTTCAGCGAGTAACAATTACTTCTTTTCCAATTGTAAATTATTATCCTCAGAAGCAGAATACTTCTTTTGCCCTTGTTCTGGGCAGAAAGGTTCTGGACTTTTGTATTTCGATCTGTCACTAAATTCCCTTGTTTTAGAATATCCCAATTAGATGCCAACCAACCCTGACCTTGGTTTATCTGAGGAAGGGACAACATGGCAATGGGGTGGGAGAAACAGCAGAAACCACTACGGATGCACCCCTTACACATATCTGGGCTGCCTACACTACAATCATTGCCCGTTTTTCTCCCAACTCTTGCCTCTGTCGTTGCCCAAGGGGGCTTACTTTTGAGCATGGGTTAAATCAAGGCCTGTTTTAAACTGCAGTTAGCAGGGGCATAGCTCCTTAATGCCACGCAAACAGATTGATTTTTTCTGGGAGAGATTTGCTGTGTCCCAGAAGAAACATGTCTTCTCGTGAACAAAACAGGAAGAAGCAAGCAGGAGCAGCTCTTTGTGCAGATTAACTCCTAGAAAATTTTATTTTAGCACAGAAGCATAGTAGCAAGTTGATGTACTTACCGTATACAAAAGGCCAATATAATACAGGCCAAATTACTTCCCATACGCCCATATCCCCAGCGAAGACAACTTAGAAAGCTCTACGTTGTTTTTGGCTTGATATACTTTACTCTCTCCCTCTTGCCTCCAACAGATCAGGGGGCCCACCATTGTCGACAAGTTCTGGATATTTTGGTGGAAGGACTCCCAATGGCAGGAGACATTTATGGGCCTCTCAGAGCCAACCCACAAGCTGACTGCAGCGTGACACACCATTTTTTGTAAGCATCTTTGTTAATAAAGCAGTAGATCTTTTAGACAGTATAATTAGCTCACCTGTTGTGACAGTCTATGAAACCAGCCACCATACTCCTCACAAACCAGTCAGTCTAATACAGTTTATTGAGATCTAAGGTGGCTACGAAACTTATCTCCAAATTTCTGTTTTCAGAATAAATCAGAGACACTGTTGGGTTAAGTATAAAAGTGAATCCCGCCAGCACCTCCTTTTCTTTGCTTCTTAAATGTTTTCAAAACATAACTGTGACACGTTATTTCCCTGAAAGCCTGCTGAAAATACACACAGTAAAACCAATTTAGTGTACCCATGTAAGTTATACAAGTATTTCTCCTATCACGGAGTTTACTCAGTACTGCCAGTGTTTAAAGATGTAAGGATCCAAAGTAATGAAAAATCAACCAGGTTTGCCAAGGGATTTAGTGATGCTGCATTCAGCAAACAGGTACTCAGTTTTAAAGGAAGGGATTTACCAGGTGCGTGTTACTGATCACTATTCAGTATTTATCTCACAGGCAAAACAGATTATAACACACTGTAAGTACAAACAATCAGAAAAGAGAAGCAAAAAATGTGTATTTTTAAAATCCCTTGAATCTCTGGATCTAAGGTAGCAGCATACAACCAGTAGTCAGGATCAAGTTTCTCAGAGCAGTTTACAGCAGACAGATCGAGTACCAGGCCTTGGTGGAGCCACAGAATTTGCATTGTGAACTGCAATCTTAAGCTCTCAGGAAAGATGACGTGTAAAAAAAGCAGTATTGTTCTCTTAAGACTGTTTCATGTCAACGGGAAACAGAAAAGAACCTGGGTGCACTGGAATCCCTGTAACTGTAGAGAATTTTCTTTCCTGCTTTTGTCTTTCCAAATAATATGAACCACAACAATACAATTAGGCTACTGCTGAACAAAATTTTGGAGGGCTGAGCTCCACCCACCAGGGAAACAAAAGTAATTGCCCTTGCCTTCAGCATCCCTGCGTGTGACGGATCCACTGTGTAACGGTCACAGTCTGCTGTACGAGGCCACACAGGGACACTAAACAGCTGAGGGAATGCTGTGTCCCACAGTTAATGGTCTCAGCGTCTACTTTTGATAAACCACCGTGCACGCAGAGCCTGATCAGGTCGCTATTGCCTTTCACCGTGGCACATAGACATGCTCCAAATGGATGTTTGCTGTCCTTTTGTAGAGTGTGGCAGCAGGCATTAAAACAGGTATTTCAGTCAGCCAAGGAGGCTGACTTACTCAGGAAAAACAATCGACTACTGCTGAGGAGCTCTCTTTTTTTTTAATTTTCTTTTTTAACTCCCACACACTGTTTAATTGTGAAATACCTTGGCTATTTCTGTGTTTTCCGCTACCATGAAAGTGAAGCTGATGTTCACCAGATCTGTGCCACTGCAAACACACACTATCCGTCCTTCCAACTCATTTTCCGATTTTCCAACAGCCTCAAGCGCAGTTAGTATTTTGGGATCCTGTTAAACAGAATAAATAACTTGTTACATCTGCCATACTTTTGCTATGCAATGCACTATGGTAAAGATACATTTCAATCTCTATTTACATTAACACTTTTAAACCTTTGCCAATCACCTTAAATGAGTGCTTTCACTTAGAATTATTGTGTGTAAACCTGAAAACCAATACATTCTAACAACTAGGAACACGATTGTAAAAACTCAGAAGTAAATGAAGTATTATAAATATATTTTAGAAAGTTAAATTTGAAATTACATATATTTTCATCATGAAAAAGAAAAATTAATCACTCCAAGGACTGGAAATAGAGGAACAGTATTAACCTCTAAGTAAATTATTCCAATCTATTGAAGTCCATAGTTACTTTGAGTTACGATCTGTGTGATTTTTTTGGCTGTTTCTTAACGACACGTCGTACAAGCTGGTATCTCTGCTGAGGGTCAAGGGCTATAGATTTAATGGGCATAAAGAGCAAATTACCTATGTAAAGACAGAGGTGAAGTCTGAAGCATATTGGTATGGTTGTCAGCACATGAAGCATGGGGTTGCCTGCACCACCACTTCTCATGCCCCTTCTCTATGGGGGAAAGATTTTAGTCTATGGATTCCCAAGAGAACTACTAAGAGATAGTTATCTACAGTTAACACAGAAACACTTAACACATGAAAGTGGAAATGCAGAGGTGTTAACAGATATCTTGCTTCATAACAAATCTTCTAAAGGCCTGGAGGAGGGAAACCCAGAGTCCACTTCAGAAAATTCTATGTCTTCCTTCCAAAGACTACCACTGAAAATATTTCCAAAGTTTTGGGTTTCTCCAGAACTCCTACCTAGTACTTCTGTTGATATTCTTCAGAATGATAGTGACCAGCTGCCCTCTCTGACCATCTAAACTCTACAAGAGGGATGCAAACAAAACCTTCTATGTTTTATGTCAATGGAGCAAAAAGATGAACCCAATTTTAAACAGATAGGAACAAAATTTGGAATACGAAACATCTTCTTCCAGATCCCTAAAACAAGTATCACAATACACTGTTACAAAATAATTAAAAACTCCTGATACATGCTCTTAATGTCTGTTGTTCAGCTTCCACCACCTCCTGAAAGCTAGGCACTGTACTACATCAGAAAGACCAGATGACAGAACCTTCCCACTGCAATCACACCAAATTACTTGACTTTAAAACTTCACATTTTAGACTGTGATTGCCAAATAAGAGCTGTGCTGCTGATATTTTTTAAATAAAATGAACTTCATCCTGCAGTTCACCTTCAGTTTAAATATTCTTTGTTTAAATGAAGAGTATAAACTAACTATAGAATACCTTTGGTACAGCTCCAAAACGAACACTGTTGATCAGGGAGCATTCTAATACCTGTCCTTCCTGAAATGGCAAAAAAAGGTACAAGTTCAAAGGTCTGTTGACACACGGCTCCATTAGGAATTGCAGCAAAAATAAACAATGAATCTTATTTGCAAACACTGTTAATTAACACTAAAACAGTATCTTTCCCTTTTATATCCGTTAATTCCCTCTTAAATACTTCACTTCTATCAATTCTAAAAGAATAGGACTAAGGTTAGTTTTGTAAACAAACTAACACAGTATTTGAGATTTTCAGAAACTAGCCAGAATATAAACCAAGTGCAATAATACCTAATACATATTCCTGACATAATTGTAATATACCTTTCCTTCACTTTTCCAGCTCAGAAAAAAGCCAAATTCATCCACTTGGAAGAGACAGTTGCTTTCAAAGACAAAAGATTCCTATAGAAAAGAAAATACAGACCATTACTTTAGTTAGTTTGACAAATGTGATAAATTTATTTATTGTTCAAATATAAAAGATTGTTACATTTCTTCCCAGATACCTTCCTGGTGAATTTGCTATTCCCAAAGCAATCAGAAATGAGGGAGGCAGGCTTGTAAAAAATGATCATTTTAATGATTTGTCTTTTTGCTGCCATTTGAGACATCGTGATGCACTTAATTAATATTTTCTTACTTCTTTGCAACTATGAAGATTTTTTTTGTTTAATAAAAGCAGTGATTCTTACCTAATCAAAAACCTTAATGAAATGGAACGTCAAAAAATTATGGAAAATTAAATGCTTCAAACTATGTAAATGTTAAAAATATGTAATTTGCTAATACTACCTTCAGGATCAAATGACCACATTTCATTTTAACATTCAGAATTTGGGAAGCACTTTTCTGCTAGACTATGACAGTATGCATGCCACGAGTATTTTGTTGCCAGAGTATCAGGCAAGCAGAGTTTGAAGGATATTGATTTGTAGATAAATCAAGAAAGAATGGCGTACCAAAGAGACTAGACAAGGCAAAAAATCAGATTAGCTGAATTAAAAAAGAAATTTCCTCCACACACCTCCAGCCTCAATTAATGCATCATAAATTAAGCTAAAATGCAGGATAACACTGAGCAGAATCAATCACTTTTCAAAGAAAAAAAGGATCCAGGACTTCCTGACTTCCTTAATTGAAAACCATCAAGCATGTGTGCAGGCTACAGCCCTGCGTACTGTTTCAGAGATCAGTGCTTTGTTCTGTGATAAAGGCTGAGGTACCTTTCTGAAATGCCATGTCCTCTCCTGTGCATACAACAAGGGCAGCAAGGATATACACGCACACACACACGGAGCTGTTTTCAGATTCTTGCATACAGGACAATTTGAATTTAGGTAACAGAACCAGGTTAAAACTCCAATGCGTTCAATCCATGGAGCACGCTTTTAAGTCAGTAAGTCTCTTCAGGCCAGTTCTCACTGGGTTACTCTGAGACAGCCACCCAGCCTGACCCGGGATGCAGGACATCGGGGGCAGCCACAGGTGCTTGTTGTGGCCTCTGCCACAGAACAAGGGCATCGGGTGGGCTAAGCAATGGTCATGTTCCAGTCAGGTCTTACCCTGACTTGACACTGGGCATGAAGGCAAGCAAGTTCCTGGATCCACGACTGGGTAATGTCCTTGAGCCTCCTAGATGGGCACAGCCAAAGGGGATACGCTGTGTTTGGGATAATTGCTCCTTTTCCCTGGAAATGTTAATTACTGAATGGTGTCTACCACTTCTGGACAACATCTGAGGTCCTCAAATGAGATTTACGTTTTAAGGACTGACACACTGCAGTTTTCCATGTGAGTAGCAAACGACTATGTTAATTTTACAGGCAGGGGAGCTGAGATAGAAAGTACAAAGTTGCTGCAGCTCAGTCTGAGCCAACACCGCTACGCATGAGTTTCCAACATGCACTGCTCTGCCCACCTTTCTCGACCATAGCTTCACCCTAGCACTTGTCCCTCATGAAACCTACTTGTTCCCAGACACCTCAGATTTACTAGTTTTGCAGCCCTTGGAGTCCTGTTTCACATTAAAATGCAGCTATAGCTGCTAATCAAGATGAGGGCATCTTGCATTTCCCAGTAAGATTACTCGCAAAAAAAAAAAAAAGGCAGGCAATATTGGTCATTTATTGTGTCCCCATCTATCAAAAAGCTCTTGATATACCAAAGGTGTTGTTTTCACAAAGGTGTCTAAATTGCATTCATGTTGATGTTCCACCCCAGTCTTGACTCTATTCAGCACATTAGTTTTTCTGCAGTTTGTCTTCTTGCACGGTAAAAAAAGCACCTACCATCAGACCACATAGATGCAACATGACCAGTAAGAATCCTAATCATGTCTGATTTTTATTACCCATATTCTGCTGAGATAACCCTGTTCTAGACCCAGACTTTTCAGCAGTCAAACATGATAACACTTGACTCAAAATATATTTCCATAATGTTGGAATTCTTCTGGTTAAGGGACTCATCTATCAGCAAAAGATGGATCAAGACATCGCTCTGCATGGCCACGACTCAGATTTTTCTAGCCACTCAACGAAACTTGGGGACATAAAAGACCTCTCATGCTGTACTAGAACTGTTCAGTCACCCAGACCCTGTACCAGGATTCCTGAGCCCCAGTTCTGCACTGACCTGCTGTATGACATTAATTCACTCACCATTTCTCTTTTCCCCAACATGACCTTTCTGTTAGAGTGAGGAATTAAGCACAGAATTTCCATGAAAATTAGAAGCCTAGATCTGAAACAATTTTCTTGAAAATTGCAAGCCCTACAGTATAGGGATGAGATTGTGCTATGTTTGCATAGTATTTCCAAAACAATGGTCTCTCTCTTGGGTGGGCTATCTAGTTACTACCACAACACAAATAATAGCATATGTATATCGTAGATCTGATAATATCAAACAGACACACCATTAAATGCTCACTGTTTACAGGCTACAGATCTTAACTTCTGAGCCACTGGTTTTTTACAGCCCTTGATGATTCCTATAAAATTGCAGCTAAAATATACAGTTAGCTACCTAAGTGAAAGCCTTTTAATGTTTCCAGAAGAGTCCCTTCAAGAAAAAAAACAAAACAGGCTTTCAACTGTACCATAGCAAAATTTGCAGTAAGCTATGCAGCTAGAGAATATCATGTGGATGGTCAAAAAGCATTTTGCTCCACAGGTGGCAAGCAGGACCCCCTTTCTGCAGGGCTCTGGAAGGCAGTAAATTCAGCTGCAAGTAGCAAGACTTCTGGTGCTACCGTCTCACCCACGTCTACGCAGCATCATCTAGTCTCGCACAGGTCCCTCCTGTGTACGCTGACCTACAGTGCAACAATATTACTTTTTGAGACATCTCATTCTCCCTATCACTACATCAAGGACCCAGGTGCCTCACCGAGCATTCTTGATCTCACATCAAAATTTGAGCACTTAAACTCTTTTCTGTATCTGCCCATTCTCTGTTTCTCATCTAAGGTGCAAGAGACCAATCATAGACCATACCCCCTCACTTGGATCCTCAGAGGCTGAGTTACTGAAGCAATATTTCCTGAAGAAAAATAAAGCTTTTATGAGCCTCCTTTCTAAGGAATTCAGTGTCCACCAGTATCTTTTTAGTTTATCTTCGCCCAAAGCTGAAAATACATGATAAACCAACTATCCCTATCTTGGCAGGCCTCATGATAAATAATACCTTTTACCTACATTTCACAAGATAAGAGGAAAATACTAATATCCCTGAAGGCACTTACTGAGATACCTTCAACTTTTAGATATTTCCTGTCCAAACAAGATTAAAAGTAGACACCGATAAAATTATTCTCACAGGCATATCAATGTTGAGTATAAGGTAAATGCCTCAGCACTTTATTTCGGCTATCTGTGTAAAATGTCCTGTTTTGCATTCCTTTAATAAATTTGGATTAAAGCACAGCTGAAAGCAGGATCATAGTAATCATATTTCAGATAGAGTACAGGTTGTTTTTCTAAAGTAGATAAAACCACTCCAGATCTCAAATGATGCATTTGAATCAGAATATAAATGTTTCGTGCTCTCTTACTTTCCCTTGTGAGATGCAGGTCCTCAGTTTATTTATTAAAAAAAAAAAGACGACACATTCCCCCCCACTCCCCCCCACCGCCCTCCATTTGATGTACAAAAAATTGGAAGGATTCACTTTGTTCAGTAATGTGCTTTATGAATCTGCAAAGATGAGAGCTTTATGCGGGTTACAGACATTTTGATCCAAATCTCCCTTTCTCTTCCTCAGGGCTTATTTCAAATCAGAGGGATTAAATATATTTTAAAGTTGTTTCTTTTCAAAGCAAAAGTCTGTATAGCAATAACGCGTGTTGGTATTTCCTCCACACACACATTTTTGGAGTTATTTGAAAGTTTATTTCTGTACAATGAAAGCAAAATATGAAATATTCTGTAACATCTACATATTTAAAAGAGAATACCAAATGAAATGCAACTGGCCTCTTACCTCTTCGTATCTATCAAACACAGCTCCATCTTGCATAAAAGAGGGAACTGGCTTCTGCCAGTTAAATTCATAAGGTTTTGCCATGATTATAGAAGAAAAACCTGAAATGGAATGAAAAAGCAGAGTTCAATTACGGTCTTTTAGGAGGAGTATTTCAAAGTCTAAGCAGGAAAAAAGTGACTTTTAGCTTTTCCTTTCACACAGAAATATTAAAAAGTCACACTGCATTTCCAAATCAAGAGTTTTCCTCATAAGAATATTTTTGTTTCATAACTTTAAAATAAAAAATACTTGTAAAATGTGTGTCTGACCTTAATTATTTTAAAAAAACACTTGCACTGTAACGTTGCTTTAGCTTAAATACCTGCTACATCACTTCTAGAGTATAACGAGGCTGGGATTAACACAGCCCTAGGTGACGCAGACTACCACAATCTGTAATATAGGAGTGCTTCTTTTTTACAGGAAAACATCAGATCCTACATAGACAGATTTCATTTTCTTTAACATTCTAAATTGTGTACTACATAGGCAAAACACATTTTCCCTCTGTGTTTTGTATTTCAAAATCCATTTATATTAAATAAAGTCCTGGGTATTTTCAATGGTATTTTATACCTAACTCAATATATGGATAATATGTAGGTCAAAATTCACAGGAAAAAACTGTTTAGGGATACAGGACATTAAATAAAATTAGCTAGTAGTATTGTACATTTTTGCAGTTTAGGAATGTGAACAAAACAGTTAATTTCGAATTTAATACAGAAGCCATACCATATGGACCTTACAATAAAGACTATCGAATTATTCAGCCTCCTTTCCACCACCTTGGTGCCTTCCAGGTTACGCTGCTTTCCACCACAAAATGTCCCAACTACATACTCTGAAATAGTGAAGTTTATTTTACCTGAAGTAAAGCGCATCTGCATCGTTCCTGCTTAGTAATGCCACCTAGGACACATAGTATCTTGTTTATTGCATTTATACACTGGACCAGAAAGTCTTGGATAAGAGGGAATACACGTGGCAGCAGCAAGACAAGACTGACTCACAGATGTCAGCAAATCATTCTGTGAAAAGGTATATTGAGGATGAATACAGCGCACGGTCACAATAATCTGACCTCACATGTTACTGCCTGTCTCACAGACGAACGCTGCCTTACTCTGTTCTTGTCTGCTTGCCCTAGCCTTCCTCGACAAGAGTCATCTACTATTGACTGTCTCTAGCAGCACCATACGGGGCTAAGCGTAACCAGCACACTTCGTATGGCCTTACAATGCAGGCACCCGCTCCAAGCCAAGTTTGTCTAAGTGCAAAGAATAAAAAGCATACCCAAAATTCAGGGGAGAGCGTGACAGGCTGGGTAATCCATGCTATGCAAACCATCTTTCTAGTGGTTTTGTACGCCAAAACTCTGAGTAGAAGACTTAAAACATTACTAATTAGTAACAATGCTTCCACAATGTCCTTAGACAGAAACGTCTACTTTGACTGAACTTTAAACCCACAATAGATGCAAGTGTTTAGAAAAAAAAAAAAATTAAGAATTTTCTAGTGTTCTCCTCTGTCTTGCTTTCATTGTATCAAAAATGTTCTAACAAGAAAAAGAACAAGAACAAAAGAACTCAGAGGATACTATTAAAAGACTGTCCAACACTGGCCTTAAGAACAGTTACTTTTGATAGTTTTCTACTGAAAAAAATATCCTTACTACTAAAAAATTGCAACATACATTTTGATGCTGCCCATCACCAATACAGGAATATCAAAAATACTTATCACATTTCCAAAGCCTTAGAATAAGACAAATTAACTCATTTTCCGTAACTATCAAAAATACAAGTTGACAGTTATATATATCTCTCACCATTAAGTGCTCACTTTTGTTGAAAATGGGATGAAAACTCAAAATAACGTATCTGTACTCTCCACTTAAAAAAAGATGTTAAATAATATTTAAGACTACTCATCTGTACTATTTTTTTCTCCGATGAAGAGATGCTTTCAACAAAATAGAGGAGAAGGAACTAGGGCCAAGAAGTGTTCAGCTACATTTAGTATCTTCTCAAAAGCCCCCTTTTCTGTTTCCCAGCCCTATGCATTTGGCTCTTACCACTCTGTAAAAGAGTAGTATTTTCCTCATGAGGACCATGAGACATTTTGAGATCCATTCAGGGAATGTGCCAAATTATTGATTTTTTTTTTTTTTTAAACCCTATAATTTTAGGGTCTCTTCCAGTTTAGATCAGCATAGAGCTGCTTTTTCCTCATTCCATGGAGGAAGCTGCATAATAGGACAGCCATCTCATTGCAGTAGCACGATGGCGTCGTCTTCTATACAGCTCACAGACTTCACACAGTAGCTCAGTATAATCACAACTTGAAAACTTAGTGCTTGTTCTTACAGCAAAGCTACATTTAGAGAAACACAGCTTCAGAAAGCTGTTTTCTGACTTCACGGGCTTTGTTAATGGCAACGTTGAAAAAAACCCCATACTATACAACAGATCCCCAAAGGTCTTGGAAAAACACCCCTTAAAGAAAACTTGAAACATATACACCTGAAGTGATAAACACTCCATTTTGATCATTCCCTTATCTGTTTAAATGAATTTTACTATCGGAACATTCCCAAGAAGAAAGTTACTACGACAGGTAGTTCATGAAGCAATACATGCTGCCAGCATGTGAAGTCCTTCTGGGAAAAGCAGATGCATTCTGTGCTAACATATAAGAAATGTGATGACACTTTTCAGACCGTGAAGCATACTCTTTGACAGTCCCTAGCCTATATACATGGCCTTTACCCTTTCTCATTGACACCGAACCCCATACAGACACAGATTTTGCCTCCTGTATAAGACACATCATAACATTCCGTCCAGCATCTGGCACCATGAATCCTGAATGTAAAGAGTTCTTGAACAGACACTTATCTTTCAGAAAGACTAATTACCTTAGCACTACAAACATGCACTTTATTACCAATTTGAACTTTGCTGAGTTCATCATCCAGTCGCAGAAATATGGCTCTGTAAAAATTCCTCCTTTACAGATATCTTCTCCTTGTCTGGGTACTCACACAGTATGATGAAGTTGTCTCATTACTTCATCGCTGATAAATTAAATAGATCGAGCTCTTCAGTTTCTGCTGCAACGCGCATTTTTCATATCTTGGAGTCAGCCTGAGCCCTCTCCACTTTACCAGCTGCCTTTCTAAAGTCAGGGGTCTGGACCAGGACACAGTAGCCCAGCACAGCGCTCTGTCATACAAACCAGAGTAACAGTCTGTCTTCTTATTTACATAACCTTACGTTTAGCTGCAAGTAAACACGCTTGATTGTTCATAATTTATCAAGCAATCAAGTTGTGTCTCAGGGACTCAAGCTCATTGTTATTTACCATCTTACCAATCTCTTCTTTAGCTCTGCTCTCTCACAGGTCAATATAGTTTACAGATGAACTGAGACAGATGAAGTGTGAGGGAAAGATGGCTTGAGTACATGTAGCAAGGGGTCAGATGAATTGTAACAAACAAGATTTTTAAGCCATATGCTGTAGCAGCTGTGCAGAAGGTGAAGAAAATTCTCTCTGCCTTTAGAAAAGCTCTTTTTGGTCTCTCACATTTCTCACACTCCTCTCAAAAATCCATTCTAACATAACCCTGTTACCTTTTAAGATCACAAATTAAAATACAAAATATTCCCCTATCACTCTTTGAAGCTCTATTAATCTTCACCAATTTTTTAAGCAGTACAAAGCAAATAATAACCAAAACCGACCCCACCCACCAAATCCAAACATGATATTCTAACATTCATACGGTTGCAAATATATGCATGCACATACTCTCACTATGATGAGAATTAACTCTCTTTAAAGAAATTCAGTAACAATGAAATGTGTGAAGATTCAGCTGGGAAAGATAGAAGATTTAGTAACTAAATTTAAGACAGTAAAATTTTAATTCTAAAACTTTTAAACAGCTTTTAAAAATTAAAATAAGAATCTCCTGCTGATTTAGGGTTCTTAAAGTATAAAAATGCCTCTGAATACATACCGTTCACAAAAGCAGAAAGAATACTCATATAAAACACCCCTCAGGACTTAATCAATGACTTCAAGGGAGAAGTAGGTGAAGTCTCTCAAGTGCAGTAGTGAAATGCCTTTTGAGATACCTCCCTTTCTTTCAACACTGACTTATGCCTGAAGGCATGATTTGAATAACATGAAAAAAAAGTACCTTTTGATTCACCTGGAGTACCCAAAGAGTGAGGATATAAAATTAACCATATCCAGAATGGCATCATTTAACACAAGTTTTCCTCTTTTGTAAGCTTGGCTGTACTAAACTAAACCAGAGGTGTGGGGGGTGGAGGGACTATAAATCCTGGGTTTTTTCATTCTTTGACCAAAAGAAGGACAAGGTGTGGCTGAACAGGAGGAGGAAAGGATTCTGTTAATACAAAGCAGACAAATGTTTGGGGAAAGAGGTGATATTCTAAACTAACCCACAGGGCTGGCTAGCGTGATGGATAGGATACTCCTTGGATCCCATAAACATCCTGTCAATGTTGAGACACTGTTGGAAAGGACGGCAGTATTCCTCAGAGCTGATCCCCCCCCAGTTTAAAACACAGTAACTCACAATTTCCGTAGTTTGCTTAGCCCCGAATATTGAAACAATACTTGTAAAATTTTTTTTTTAGTAATTATTATTTTTGCCTCTGGAATGAATCGCTATTTGCTGAGTGAAAAAGCGAGGAGGCTCCACACTCTGTGTTTGCCATTTCACCACTTACCTCTCCGAATCACATCACCTAAACCTGCACCTGTTACTGTCTGCATGGGTTTCGAGGGCCAAGTATAAGCACCCACAGAACACTATGCTGAGTTTAGTAACCTTGCCCAGTATATATATCCTTCACCACCTCTCTTCTTTGGTAAACGCGATTCTTCATAACAAAGACAGCCAGATTTACATCGGCAGACCTCTACAGCTTTTTGGGGGCTTTTTTTATGGAGTTCATCCCAGTCCAGAAAGTCTACCTGCAGTGTTGTGGACTACAGTGAGAAACGAGTTGTCCAA